CTTCCAGAAGCTTAATTTCTTGGATCTCCCACTATGCACTGACTCACCTGCAGAGAGCAGCGCTGGCTTTCGACTGTTATTCTCAACAAACATGGCACACGTGGCCATCCGACGGCTACAAGCTAGTGTACAATGCTGTGCCAGGGTATTTCGCTGTTGGAATTCACGTTGGATTGCTGCTGCAAGTGAGTCATCACAAAGTTGTGAAATATCATGTCAAAACGTAGATGGAACCAGCGCACCACAGCCAGGTCACACAGTAGGGTCCCCAATTTCTTCCAATTTGCCTGACCCGTTCGATTCACTTGCGTCCAATTATCGAATTCGGATTGAGCTCCAGTTTAAGTTCAACGCCTCATCAGGGATCTACGGAAATGCTGAGGCGCGCGTGCTCTATAGAGCTCTAATGATGCGACTCCCTCAGCGCCTAGAGTTAGATGTTATTGGTCAGAGCCGGTCGTGGCGGACCCTCTCTCTTAAAGTTGAAGCGGATCGTCACAACGCTCTAATCGATCTGTGCCACAATACCTTAAGTAAGCTAGTTGGGGGTGCGAATACCTTCCCCGAACACGGTGATATCATAGCAAAGATCAGTGCTGGCTTAACTCCAGCTCGGTGGGTTGAGGCGACACAACATTTTTCCTTGGTTTTCGCAGGTAGATGCATTGCCAACCCGCGGCTAGATGCATGGTTACGATCTCTCCAGGAACGTGTCGAGTACCTGCGTAAATGGATTTCTGACAGAGGGCCACTACGCCTCTGGCTCGGCGTCTTGTTTTCACCGCAATCATATTTGCAAGGCGCTCTTCTCGATGTAACTCGAGATCGTAGTAGCCGCTTTGAATCCATGTCTTTTGTTGCAGCGCCCTTTCTTGCTACCGATGATGTTGCAATTTCTCCCGGTTCAATTCTAGCCGAGGGCTTCTTACTGTTTCATGTATCGCGGCGCTTGGCTTCCGAGGTTCTCGTTACCAATAAAAATGCATCATTTTTCCATAATTCTGGAGTCGCACCCTTACTGCTCCTTTCGCCAGGCCCACGGAGATCGTCTAATTTATCACTGAAAGAACAGCCCGATTTGAATAAGGCTGTCGAGTGTCCTGTGTATAGCTACAGACAGAGTGTATTCATTCGCCTGCTCACCGCACACCTACCCGCTGCGCTTGGACCTGAAGTATGCTCCGAGCGCACAGCATACTTGCTTTGTTGAGCTCAGGTTCTCACACCCGCCAATTCAAAAGTGAACAAAATCAGCTCCAATCTCAATCCAGACAGCAGAATTTCGAACAGAAGAGAGCTAACAGTTCACATATGTAGCGGGAATTGCCCCTTCAAGGTATACTTCTCTTACTAGCTTGAGGTTCACAGTGCAGTGGATATATGCCAGCTTAGTTGCTCACTTGTATCTTTTGTACGAGGATACGCGGATGCGGTATCCTCTTCTTTCTTTCTCTTGCACACTTTTAGTGACCGAGGAGTCTGGGGGTTGCATAGGCAGCTCACCGCTTAGTGTTGCTAGATCCCCGCCGGTTGGCAGGGCAGTGTAAATATCTACCTTTCTAGTCTACATACACAGAACGAACGGTTCATTATTCGGGATTCGGACAAATGATAATTGAGGGGGTTGAACGATGGTCGAACGATATCTGACGCTGCCTTCGGCATGTTCCGGGCCACTGTGGAAGAAACTGAGAGCACTTCGCCGTACGAAGTCGGGGTCGGCGGTCTCGAAAAGTCACTCCATGTCGAGCGAGAGGCAGCAGAAGTCGAACACGCCACGGTGGGCGCGTCGCGCGGCGCTGGGGGGCGGGGAACAGGGATCTCAGCTTCTGCGTGTTCCCCCACGAGATGGACTGAAGTTTCAGGATCTCTAACCCCGAGTTCCTACGGCAAACTACTCTCGTTTTCTTCCCCTGTGAACCATAACATGCCCAACGCAGCGCCAGAGATCGTTGGACCATGCTCGAAACTCAGCACGCTGAGATCTCGTCCGACCAATGGGATCAGCGGATTGGATTCTTGGATAATATATATTTCGTTCTCTACATGTACAGTGAAGGCGCTTACATTCCTTTACAGTTGGCCCCACCTGCCGGAACAAGCTGGCGAGCTCGGGAAGCAGTAGGACGATTTGCCTGGCTGAATGAACAACAGATGGTAGGTGGACTGTTACCGACAGGAGCAGAGCCTTTACGTGTGGATCCAGAACGTCTTGCCCCTCCTACAGTGAAGGCGCTTACATTCCTCTACACATAGATTTTTTTGATAGTCTTTGGTAATCTTGTATCCCAGGCTGCTTTATCTCCCTTGACCTCACTCTTCACCCAGACCTGGGGTTCCCCGGTCTTCTTCTTTTGACTGCAAAGTATTTATCCTGGAGTCTACCTCAAGTTACCCCTGACCTTATCTCAAGATATGACAACCAGCCCAATACGCCACTCTGCCTAGATACCCCGCATTGAAGCAAATACTCAACGTGGGGTGTCCTGGGTGTCTTCCCTCTTAGAATTAACATATCTCGCCGGCGGGATATGTTTAACGCCGCGGCTTCAACCTACTGTCACCGGATGCTTGCGCTTGGGGGACTTCTGTCGACGCTTCAAGCCAGCCATGGCCATCTTAAGCCGCAACTTGTCCTTGAGAATATCCCTGCCATCTGCGACCAGGTGTGCAAACCTGAGTGCATATAGACACACATGAAGGGTGGAATGCTTGTATCCATAGGAGAATCTTCCTCCTGAGAGCACCCTAGCTTCCTCTGTTAATACTGCGTAGATTTCCGAATCGGCGAACCGCTTTAATAACGCACCACATATTTTCTTCCGAGCCCCAGGGCCTCAGTTATTTTCTGCTGCTAGTGCTATATAGGGACATGAACCAGCAGACTAGTTTGGGCTGGATGATGATAGGCGGTCTGAACTCACCAGGTCGCTACCACGACCGGGAACATATAGTATCGCCGTAAATGTAATCCCCCATCACTAGAGCTCAAGCCCCCTGCACCCCCTGCACCACCACAAGGCCGGATTCGGGCGGGGCTGGCCTGTTGGGCGGATTACCCTGGCCGGCGTATTATGCTCGTCTCTCTAGCTAGTCTCAAAAGAGCAAGCTCGATAAAACGAGACTGGCATTAAAAAGCAAACCCAGCCGGAACCACAATATGCACGCATTCGTATTTCCCCACATAGTGTAGACTTTTGATTTTCTTTGCCGTCTAGGTTCGGTGGTCTTTGTTGTTTGTAGTCAGGTTTGGGAAAGAGCCCCCCCCGCGTGACTTGTATTCAGTTGCGTCTTGTGTCGCACCCAGGGGAGTAGCCCAGGCCCGATCGGGACGCGCAAATTTGCCCGTGGCAGATAGCATTGGTCGACTGCGGCTCGAAGCCCGAGTTTGGGCAGTCTGAATTTTCGATCCTCGCTTCGCTTGTCTTTGTGTCAGTGCGTTCGTGCCATGGCTTGATTTTTGTTCTCCGAGCGAATCGACGTGATCGATCTGATTTTTCATTGGGATATTATTGTCTCGGCAATCCACGCAGCATATCGTTTCTACATTGGCTGAAGCCAACTGACCCCCAGAAGTGTGCTGTGCGTCCGGAGTATTTTTTGAAACACCCCATCGACCAACCCCAAGCGCCTCTACCTTTCCTCCGGCGTGGACATAGACGTGCCGAACACGTTCAGACCTTTCCAGTGCTTCAGCGAGTATCCTGACTCCGTGATGGGTGATCATGTTGCCACGCAGGTCGATGCTGCTAAGGTTCGATTTGCCAGCTAGCACCGATGCCAGTGCGTGAGCCCCGTCATCTGTGATCATATTATCTCGAAGAGACACTTCCCTTATCGATGTGTCGCTCCGGAGTAGTGCGGCAATAGCATGGAGCTCTTCGTCAGATATCGAGGATTCTGGTAGCTGAATCGTACCAAGCTCCGATGAAGTGTGCACTTCACTCTCACGACTCAGGTCGGTCTGCTTAACTGCATGAACATACCGGAGAAGTGTTCGTCTTTTTGCCTCCTCCTCTGATTCAAGTTTTTCTTGCATCAGTGCGCATTTGTGAACAAGATGTTCTATACGCTGATCCCTACCTGCAATTTCGCTTTGCAAGATATCTCTGTTCTCTTCTTGAACCATCATCATACCATAAGATCTGCCCATATGTTCAATAAGCATTTCCTTCATACCCGGCGAGTTCTGCGCACGCTTGAGGAATTTGTTTGCGTCGTGCGCTTCAAGCCACGCCCGAAAGTGCGGGGTCTTCCCCTTCAGTAGTACCATGTTTGACGAAGTCGTCGAATCAAGTATAAAGCGACTATGTGCTTCAATTAAGTGCTCCTCGCTTTTGATCTGAAAAGAATCACTCTGTTTGTTTACACCAACCTCTGTAGCATTATCTTCTTGATACTTCCGCGTTATTGCATCGAGACGTGTTTTCATTGTTTCCAGCTCTTCTTGCTTAATTCGACTGGCTTGTGTGATGATGCGATTTGACTCGTTAGCATCATCTAATTTGACTTGCAGCTTGGACAGATGATCATTTGAGGACTTGAGTTGGACCTCAAGCTTCCGCATCTCCTCCGTTCTGACCACCTTGGCCTCTTCGTCAGTCTGCATCTTGTTCAAGAGAAAGCCAAGGCGCCCACTGAAAGTTTTCACTTTTTCAACTGCCGCCCCCTTTTCTTCACGTTCTTCGAGCTTTAGCCGGACCTCCTCGCGGCACCGGGAGGCGAGGACTGAGTTGTGCTTTTTAATCGCTCGCAGCTGGTCTTGAAGAATCTTCTTGTCTAACTCTGCCTTCACACGACCCCGGCCTTCCTTTGTAGCTTCCTTGAGAAGACGTGCGTTCTTCTTGGATAGTGCTACAGTCTCTGCTTCCTTCTTTGTGAGCTCCTCCATAGCACGAGTTTTGCTTAGTTCGGCAAGTTTTAAGCGCTCCAGAAGCTGAAACACCTTTTCTGCCATCTCACGCAGCTGCTCACCGCTGTCCCGTGCTTCAGATTCCATCCGCAGCCGCTCGCTGTCTGCACGATTTGAACGATTCCGAACTTCTTTTATTTCCTCCATCAAGTTATTCAAATCTGCCGTCAAATTGCGATTGCTTTCTTCCTTCATTCGTCGATTGCGAGTTTCAACTTGGAGATGAGTATCCAACTCCACACTTTTTGCATGCAGCTGGCGTAACTTATCTTCCATACTATTGACTTGATCCTCGGCTAGCCTCTTGACTCGATCCTGTGCTTGAAGCTTTTCAAGTAGCTGATATTGTTTTTCCTTGCGGACACGCAGTTGTTCATGCAGAGCCTCGAGTTCCACTTGCGCTTTAAGTTTTAGCTCCTGGTTCTGTTGCTTTAGCTGCTCGATTTCCGTTCGGAGGACGCGTACTTCATCTGCACGGAGTTGACCCTCGTGTGCTGCTCGATTCGCCATTTCTTCGTGTGTCTTGGCTGTGGCTAGGAGCGTTCCGTACTTAGCTTTCAATAGTTCCAATTCGCTACTGTAATTTTGATTTTCTGCACTCAATTTTGCGCTTTGCGCCTCTTCCGTTTCCAGCAGCCGCAGTAATTCGGAATTCTGATCTGTAATTACTCGTAGCTGTTTGTCCTTCTCTACTGTTTCGGTTTTCATGGATGCTAGTTGAGCATCTGCGGTTCGAGCCCGACTAAGAAGACGAAAATTCTCATCACGCAATATTCGATTGTCGTTCTCGGCTGCAATTTTCTCCAGTTGAATGGCATTTGCATCCTCCTCGACGCTGTCCAAATTGCGTAGAAGTTGCACATTCTGATCATTCAGCATTCGCAATTGTTGCTCTTTCATCGCCAAGGCATCGTTGGCCCGGGTCTCGCGTGATTTTTGTAATTCATCAATTGTCTTAGGCGGCAGGCGATGCGTCTCCATCGTGAAGGGGATAGCGCGCGGATCAAGGCGATATATGTGCAGGTGATATAGCCGCCAGGATATATCAGCCAGGATATTCAGGATACAGAGGAGAGAGACAGAAGATATATCTCGTACTCGAGTACGAGTATCGTCTGTCGCTGACATCCTCTTCTATTATTGTGCGCCTGAGCGCACCCCAGGAAAATCTTCTTTTGGGGGGGAGTGGTGCATATGTCAGGGAGTAATCCGGCGCCTAGGCCGCCGCCAAGAGGGTCTTATTCCTTAGCGGCCGGCGCTGGTGCGGGCGGGGCGGTCCCGGCCCCGGCACCAGGCGCGGCGACGGAGGAAAAGGAGGCAGAAGGCCCGGCGGGGGCTCCAGCGGGGACCGCTGGGCCAGCGACCACGGGCACTTTTGTGGCGCGGGTGGCCGCGTCACCGGGCTTGAACGTGGACGTCGAGGTGCGGATTAAGAGTGCAGGCGAGAAATTCGTTGAAGGAGTTATCACCGGACGGCGCAGCGTGGATAGCAGCTATCCAGTGGCGCCTCTGGGCCTTAGTGGGGAACGCGGTCCCGTGTTAAATCTAATGCACGGGCGGCATTTCCTCACGATGGCCGAGTATGAGCAGGGCTATGCTAGTCAGCGAGGCCAACTACCGAGCGGCGCGCCCGCGATGCCGGAGATAGTGGCGCGGGACGCTCCGGTGGCCCGGGCGCCTGCGCGGTACGCCAGCGAAACGGTGCCTCCGGGTTTCGGGTACAACAAGGACGGTTTCGTGAGCAAAGTCTTTGGAAGCGCAGCGAGGTATGTGGACAAGTGCTGGCCACCCTTTTTGCTCCTAGCCCAAAGCGTGGCCAGGGATTATTTGGATCATAACATCCCGACGCTGGTGGCAGCTGTGGAACACGCTCTCGAAGGGGCTACGAGCGAGGGGGTCGCTTTGACACCTCCGGTTTTCGATGTCTTCGATGATGCGGAAAGCATGCTGCGAGGGCACGTGCTGCGGCTGGGAGCCGCCCTGAAGGAGGTGGCTGGAAGGAAGGCCAAGAAGCAACGGATCGAGGATCCGAGCTCGCGTCAACCTGGGTCTCTGGGGCTCAGGATAATGGGAGAGCTGTTGGGCGGGGCTCTGTCTCCGGGGGCCAAGACACTGTGCGACGGACTGGAGGACGCGGGTCGCACTATGACGACAGCGAAAGAAGTGCTGGGCAAGCCGCCGGAGGGCGACTTGGCCCGAGCTCTGCAGCGGGTGGCGCGGTCCACGGGCCCTTGCGACGTGGTCGCAAAGGGAACCTTTGGCAATACACTGGTCACCCTCCGGAAGGGCGCGGAGGACGGGATGGAGGAACTGGCGCATAAGTCTGATTTCGGCAAGGTGCCGCCGAGCGGCGTGCGCGCGGGCCCGGCGTCCAAGAAAGGTTTGACTTTAAATTCAGCCCTGAGAACGGGGTCGATCGAGGGGCTGCATTACTACAGTGTCGCTTTGGCTTTCAGCGAAGGGGGGTACCCGGAGTGGTTCGGAACCTACCGCTTCGATCGCGCGGCGGCGGCGGATCCTAAGCGGCCATGTGGGCCGCCGGAGGCGCAAAGCGTCCTGCGGGCGATTGTTCGACATGTGGTTCAACCGCTGTGGAATTTTGTGTCGCCGATGGACCAGAATGGGCCAATGGAGTTTATAGATCTGGTGTTTCAATGGCTGGATTTGGGAGTGTCTGAAAGTTTTGTCAATGGCATGGTCTGTAAAGTCCATGTGGAATTTCAAAAGGCTTTTAGTGGCTGGCTGGACGGGGCCGTGAAGGACCCACCGAAAATAGCAGTGCTACCAGGGCACCTGCAGGCCCTCATCGATGATGAGGTGGTCATGGTTAAGCGGGTGCATGAGTTCCAGCGCCGTTTCAGTGGCAGGGCTGCGATCGCAGGTTCGGGGCGGCGGGGCGAGGAAGCACAGCCGGAGCTGAAGAAGCCAAAGAAGAAGAAGAAGAAGAAGCGCGACCGGGACGACGCCGACGGGGCGCCCGCGAAGGCGGGCAAGCCGGCGTCTAAGGGTGCTAGCGCAGGGGGCGCTGGCGGGGGCGTCAACTACATGGATGCGCTGTGGAAGGTGTCGACGAAGAACGGTGCAGTGCTCAAGGATAAGGAGAAGAAGGGCGCCTGCCTGAAATTCATCCAGACAGGGAGGTGCGCGTTCGGCGCTGCGTGCCGTTTCTCGCACGACAAGGATTTTTGGCAGAAGAACGGCGTCACGTGGCGGGCGGTCCGGGCGGCGGCGTCGGGGGACAAGGACTCCGACTCGGGATCGGAGGAGGAGAGCCGGGCGCGGTCGCGCTCGCGATCGCCCTCTCGGCGGGGGGATTGAATTCCCGAACGTGCCGAGAGTTGAATGGAAAATTGAAATTGAAATTGAATGGGCTCAGGAAGCAGGCCGGCGGACGCGGCGGCGCCGCCGCCTGTTTCGCCGCTACCTGATCCGCCGCCGGACCCGCCGCAGCCCGCGGCGCCCCCGGCGGGAGGGGTTTGGCCCGACCCTGGTTTTGTTCCAATCGGCGTGAACTGGGACGGCGGACGGGAAGAGGAGGACTTCTTTGTCGAACGGCTGCGGGCTACGGCGCGGGTGCTGTGGCCCGGCGTCGAGCCCCTGCTGGAGGGCGGCCTTTTGCGAAAAATAGGGACCCTGTTTTCAGGGGCGCTAGATGGTTTCGGACGAGTTGCGGAGATGCTGGGCGCCTGCGAACTGGTGATGCAGTGTGACAATGATGAAGCTGTCTGAAAGACGTGGAGTGGACTGGCTGAAGGTTCTCCAGCGGGTTTGGCCGGCTTGTCCGAAGGTGATACTGATGGAATTCATCTATCTCAGGGGCGACGCGGAGTTTGAACGGCAGCTGCGCAAAGCCCGGCGACGGCTGCGCCGTCTGGGGTACTACGCCCCGCCGCCAGAGAGCTGCGTACTTAACGCAACGGAGCTTGGCGGTGAGAATCGCGTGAGGTTGATCTGGCCAGCACGGCTCAGGTCTATGGGCGCGACACAAGAGGTCCGCCTGCTGCGGGGCAACGAGGCGGGCCTGCAGCAGCTGGTGCCAGCGGATTTCTTTGTCCCCCTCAACAAGCTCACGGAGACGCTGACATACGACGGGGAGTGGTCGAAGTGGGCAGAGCCGGGCCTTCAGGGATCCCGCGGCCCTGGTGGGCGGCGGGCCAGGGGCGGAGCCCCCAGCGCGCACCGCGCGTCTGGAGGTCCGGGCGCAAGCCGTTGGGTTGGATGTGGCAACGGTTTGGGTTTTCCATTGATGCATTTCTCTTGGGGCTTAGTCCACCCCTGTTTTTGAGTGATTTGAAACGGACACAATTTTCTTTCTGCCCCCCCTTTGTTTAATGGCTTTCCGCCGGGGGCGAGAGACGCATCAATATTTTTCTACGTGGCCCGGGGCGATTTGGGTGTCCTTAGGTCCCGCGGTTTCGGTCGAGTTGGGTGGCAGGGACCCAAGGTGGGAGACGGGCATGCCACTTGTGGGGTCAATCCACGAGCAGCGGGATGCGTCGCTGTTGGCCGAGATGGCAAGGGGCATGCCTCAGGTCCAGGGACTGGCAGCAGCAATATCCAGTAGGACCAGGTGCTTGAGATCCGGAGCCACAATCTCAGCGCGCGGTTCAATCCTAGAGGGCAAGGATAGCTGGCTGCAGTTCTGCGAGGAGCTCAAAGTGCATCCCATAAGGTTGCACGAGCCGACTACTCAGGATCTCATCGAGTTCGACACTATGCTGTACATCATGTTTCTGGCATGGAAGGTGCCGCGTATGGAGGCTGGGAAAGGGAGAGGCAAGGAGATCATTTCCGCAGATCTCTATTTGTCGCGGGTGAATGGGTGGGTACTTGATAGGTGCAAGCGGCCAGTGCAAATTGACCGAGTGTGGTACAATACACAACGGGAGGCCTACAAGGTCCAGAGGATCGCGGAGAAGGGCAGGCCTCCGCGACATCGGAAGCTAGCCTTTATTCCAGCTCATTTTGAATTGATCCTCAGGATCTCCGGGCTGGACTGGAACGAGCCTTGGCATCGCACGTGGTTAACAGCAGCTCAAGTAGCGTTCAATCTTGGCCTACGGGTCGGAGAGTATACCCAGCGGAGAGCAGAGGACTTCAATCCGAACACAGCCTTTAACATGGCTGACGTGGCCTGGTATAGGGCTAACGGCCAACCTTTTGACCCGGCAGAATTTT